AAAAAAATGGAATCAAAGTCTTTGCAAATAGGGAAGGGTGGAGGGGATGAAGGGAGGGCAGGGGAAGGGGAAAAAAATAAGAACCAAGATACTCATGTAATGGTACAAGATCCCAATGATGATTATAACTGTATTTGATACCTAAAATGTACCAATAAACTTAATGGGAAAAAAATAATTACAGTATTATTGAATTTTGAAATTGGGTTCCCCATATAGCCCATCTATTTGTTGTTTTTTTTCTTCCCATTAAGTTTTGGAAATCCTGACTCAACCACAGTCTGTCTTTAGCAATGATATTAGCAATCTGCATGATTGATTTATTCTCTGTGGTATCAGGAGTTATAAGTGATCACTCCTTGGCCTTTTGGCTAAGGTCAAGTGTAGTATCAGGAGTTAGAAGTGAATGATACAAAGATTTGCAGAAGTTCTCTGATATGTCTTCTCTAAGGCTCAATTCCTGATCTTTAGGGTGTAACTGAGAACTTCAGGTGAATGTCAGGAAAAAGCAGAAACCACTTATGAATGATGAGACTGTAGGCTTTCGCTGATTTATTACATTAACCAACATTGTTAGAATGGAAGAGAGTGGAATCTTCTATGATAGTTAAGTACTTATCAGGTCCGATTATCCTGGAATTAAGAATATGTTATAAACAGGAGACATTAACACATCTACAGTCCTTCCTTTCATTTGTCCTACAGTGTGTTAGGAATTTCATCAGTACAAACTTCTTTAAACTTAGACATAAAATATTTTTTACGCCTATTGTGTCATTCTGTGTCCATGAATATATGTTTTCTTTAATTAAAAGATGCACAAATATTGAAACACATCTTTTATTTATTTATTGAGACACTCTTACTATGTTTTCCAGGCTGGCCTGGAGCTCCTGGACTCAAGCACACCTCCTGTCTCAGCCTTCTGAGTAGCTGGAACTAAAGATGCATACCACTGAGCTCAACTAGTGCATATTCTGAACACATTTTTCTTATACATGATTAATCTAGGAATTAATTAGGAATTTCTTATATATTAAATATACATGTATATTGTATAATGTATATAAATTCTTATTCATGAATTTCTTTTTTTTTTTTTTTCCGGTACTGGGGATTAAACTCAGGACCTTGCGCTTGTGAGGCAGGTGCGGGACCACTGAGCTAAATACATGTATATTGTATAATGTATATAAATTCTTATTCATGAATTTCTTTTTTTTTTTTTTTTCCGGTACTGGGGATTAAACTCAGGACCTTGTGCTTGCAAGGTAGGTGCGTGGCACCACTGAGATAAATCCCCAGCCCTACATGAATTTCTTATACATGAAATTTAGAAATTTCTTATACATGATTAATTTTCAATTAGGCTGAGTTGTTTTCTTTTCTTTTTTTTTTTTTTTTTTTTTTTTGGTATTGGGAATCGAACTCGGGACCTTGCGCTTGCAAGGCAGGCACCAGAACCACTGCGCTAAATCTCCAGCCCTGAGTTTTTTTCTTTTTAACACAAGAATAATAAAGCAAAGTTTTGAATAAGTCAGAGAATGCCAAACAAAGATAATTTCTGTAATCTTTTAAGAAAGCTTTATGGTATAGAATGACCGTTTAGTATAAACCCAAAGATGCTGTAGATGTGAATGACTTCATAATGGTTTTGTATAAGTCATGGATATCCTTAGGTAAGACATAGTTGTAGGAAGTATCTTTTCAAACACAGGAACAAATGAGAGTGATTATTAGGAAACCTATCTCTTTTCCCTAAAGTGAGGAACTCTAAAAGAAAATTTAAGAGTATATCAAAAAGCACAGAAGTAACAGTATTTTGGTGATTTCACCTTTTCTGAGTTTTTAATCTCACCACACCAAAACATGAACTAGTTGATAGAGGCCTGCACAACTTTTATTTCTTCAATGAAATTTCTTCTTTATATCCTGGCAGTTGAGAAGTCTTTTAGGAAAACAATTTTAGAATTATAATTGCATTTGGGAGCGTCTGCATTTTAAAAAATGCAAAACTTGATATGGACACATACCTGTAGTCCTAGCTATTCAGGAGGCTGAGACAGGATTACTTGAGTGCAGGAGCTCCAGGCCAATCTGGGCAACGTATTGAGACTTGTCTATAGAAAGAAGAATGCAGACCCTTGGATAGTCAGAGTTCTGAATTTTTGTCTTAAGATTTCTTGCTCATGCCAGGTGTAGTGGCCAATACCCATAATACCAGCTACAAACTTGGGACACTGAGGTGGGAGGATCACAAATTCAAGGCCAGCCTAGGTGATTTAGTGAAACCCTGTCTCAAAATAAAATTTCAAAAGGGTCTGGGGATATGGATTAGAGTTCCCTCAGTTCAACCCTGGTACTGGGATAGAAAATTTTATTCATGTTAAAAGTTCACCAAGAGACCATTTGTAATCCTAAATTCTTCCTTGGTGAAATTATGTTATGAATTATATTCATAATCTGAAATATGAAGCAGTCAGAGTAGATCCAGAGGGGACTATTAGATTGCAGCCATTGGCGAGAATGAACAGCCCCTTTGCTATCACATGTCTCCAGAACGCACGGAGTGACATCAAAGACCAGCTGCATCAGTGAGGCAGCTCCAGGCAGAGCTCAACACAGCACTTCCCAGGACTACAAGGACTGGGAAAAGCCCTTGTGAAGTTTTAGAAAAGGTAGCCTGAGGCAGAGTTTGAGCAGAGATACTGGTGTGATGAGACTTGAACTTGTCCGCCTTTGGGACTAGGTAGAGGCCCATCTATCCTCTCCTTGTGGACTTCGTTTTATATGTGAACAGCTCAAGACAACTGAACAAGTAGTAGATGATAGGAATGCCATTGGTTAGGTAGAAGGCATATTTCACTCATTTTCAGTCTGGTAAGACTTGAGAAGTCAGAGGACCCACGCATCACCTTGATGCTGAAGCCCTTCACAAAGAGATTGCAGCTCAGACATCTGTTGCAGGCAGGGTAGTCTTGAGCAGGAGGACATTCAAGAGGTTCCACTTAAGCACACTGCTTCATAGCAGAAACAAGGAGCTTGGCTAAAACTTGGTGGAATCTATAGTAGTTATGAAGTCCACTGATTTAAAACAGAGAAGCATTTAATTGTAATTTTTTAAAATTAGATTTATTTAATGTGTCGCAATAAGCAGAGGCTATGAGAAGAACCTAGTGATCCCTCAAGAGGGAAGCAGTTACAAAAGGCACTCATTGGGTAGTGTCATTAGATTAGTGACAGTTTTAGATTTATGGTGGAAGTTTGTAATTTTTCCAAGGGCCAGTTAGAATTTGTAAACTAGATGAGTTGCTAGAACTCAAGCAAATATAGTAGGTCTGGGCAGTTCCTATTAAATTAATTTGTCTGAAGTCTTATCTTGGAACATACAGATGTGAAGAATCTAGTTTGAGTTTAGTCAGTAACACATTCCTGGTTTGGTTTGTTCAGTTTATCTGTTTTATGAGTCACAGTACTGTTAAAAATTGTGCTTTCTCTTTGAAGAGGAAGCCAGTATTACTTTCTTGTGTGTATAAAAGTGTATATGTGGGGCTGGGGGTGTAGCTCAGTGGTAGAGCATGTGCTTAACATGTATAAGGCCCTGGATTCCATCCCCAACAACCCCCACCCTGCGCCGAGGTATACTTATAATTGTTGAAAGGTCGCAGAAAGGAAACATTGACCTCAGAAATTACGTGCATTAGTTTTATGTTGCTGTATAGCAAATTCCCGTAAGTATAGAGGCTTAAACCAGCAGCTGACCTTAGCTTATGGTTGCATAGGTCAGAAGTCCAGTTGTGACATAGACTGCTTGCTTAAGCCCTCAAAGGCAAAAAGCAGAGTTCCTGCCAGGCTGAGTTCTCATCTGGATCTCTAGCAAAGAACCTGTTTTCAAGAGTATGCAGGTTGTTGATGGAATTTCCTTGCTTGTGGTAGTCGGAATGGGGTCTTTATATTTTGCTGTCTATTGATTTCTGTTGATTGGGAGCCACTTAGCTTTTTGAGACTGCCTGCTCTCCTTATGTTGTGGGCCCTTCTGTCTTCAAGCCAGTAATGGAGAATTTGTACAGCCAAGTCCCTCTCGCGCTACAGATCTCTGAACCCCTATGTGTCTGGCCTCTAGGTTCAGCTTTAAAGGTCTCATGTAATTTGGACAGGTCTACCTGGATGGTCATGACATCTGCCAGCCTCGCAGTGTGTTTGATGGAATGCCTGGGAGACAGTTTGTGCACACCAGGGCCAGGAGTCCGAAGATCTACCTATCTCCCACCACCACATCTTTTAATGTCTGAAAGTGTAAGCCACAGAATTTCCTGTGTGTCACGTTGGTAATTCTTGGTTGTTTACAAGTGTAGCTTAAATTCAAGGTTGAATGTTTTAGTATTACTGGTTAGAGTCAGTCTAGGGTGCTGCTCTTGTTTGTTTGAGAAAAGTATTTGTTTAAGTATAAAACTTATTTACATAGGGAAGGTGATCCTCAGTGAGATTGCCTTTTTTTTCCTGCTGGCATCTGTTACTTTCCCTTTTAATAAAGTTTATAAAAACTCAGAAAAATTAGAATGTAAGCAAAGAAGATAGAAAATATAATCTCATCTGTAACCCAAACACTCCTGTTTATAATTGTCATCGTTTTCTTTCAGCTTGTATTATTCACTTAGAATGTCAGTATGATCATGTAGTATATGTATAATTATATATGCTGATTGTTTTTTTTTGGTACTGGGGATCCAACTCAGGACCTTGCGCTTGTGAGGCAGGTGCGGGACCACTGAGCTAAATACCCGGCCCTTATGCTGATTTCTTTAAATGTATCTTTCCTGATTATAAAAGTAGTATAGGATCACTGGTAAAAAGTTGAAAGGAAAATAGAATAAAATAATGTAGAATCTTGTTATGTAGCACTACTCCTTGAATGTATTTCCTTACTGTGTTTTCTAATGCAGTTTGAGTTGTGGTTTAGATCATACTGTATGGCTTTATTTGTAAGTAAACACTGGAGCAGTTGTTAGGTATTAAATATGGGACATTTGACTTATTACTTATCTAGTAGGTTTTCGTATTCTAACCTTTGAAAATGACTTCATTGGTTGTACTGTATATGAATTTTTAAATTCCTAAATATACCTTTAAAAATTTTATGTTAGTGTACACATACATATGTATATGCTTATAATTAATAGTTAATAAAATAATTTTTAAAGCCCTATTGTCTGTCCAAATTAATTTACTCCCCAGAAAGCTGAGTTTTCACTCTTCTGTCCTACAGTGAGTGGGTCAAGGACAGCAGTGTTTCCATGGTTCTTCCCTCTCCGCCTTGAGAAAACACACCCATGGCTCCAGCACCCTACTGGGGGGTGATAGTGCAGAAGAAATAAATACAATGAGAGAATAAAACAATACAGTATGACTCATCTCTCCTCTTTTCTTGGTTTTATAATGACCATAATGTCTCAGCTAAAGATAGACACTGGTATTGAACCCCAGTGCAGTATTTTCTTGCTAAAATATTAACAGAAAAGGCTTTCCCACTTATGAATTTTTTAAAATACAGAAAATCATTATTTTAGTTACTTAGTCATAAAAATAGATTGTGTTATTGCTTAATATACTGCTTTTAAAAATAAATGTGACATTTTATTTATTATTTTGTGCTGGGGATCAAAATTAGGGCCTTGTGCATACTAGGCAAGTATTGTCCCACTGAACTATATTCCCAGCCCTACTTCTGCTTTTGAGAAGAGAAAGGAGGAAAAGACCAATGCCACGTCGTACTCAGCACATGGTAAATTTTTTTTTTTTTTTGGTATCTGGGATTGAACTCAGGTCCTTGTGCTTGCACAGCAGGCGATGAAACTGCTGAGCTAAATCTCCAGCCCATGCACATGGTAAATTCCCTAGAGACCTATGTAGTCTTCACCCAAGTTTGAGGTTACTGAAGGCCTGGCTTAGCCGGTATTATTGGTGAGAGCCCCGCTCTGCTGGAGAACACGCATTCCCAGAGACCGAGGCAGGCGCTATAAAGTCACTTCTGCTGTGCTGTATCAGTAGAGTTAAAGCAAGTCCCTAAACTAGCTCAAATTCTAGGGGAGGGGAATTACATTTCAGTTCTTGATGGGAAGGCCAGGGTCACGTTGCAAAAGAGTATGTGCCATGGAAATATTGTTGCAGCCATTTAAAAAAAATAAAATCTTGCTACAGATGATGTAACAGCAAAATATTTAACAATAACTGAGATTTCCAAAAATTGGAGATTTGTTTAATAAATTATGATATCTATCTGAGAAAATGTTATATGGTATTTTTAAGGTATCTGTGTATCCTTTTATGCATTTAGATATTATTTGTCTTGAGGCAGGCATGATGGCTCACACCTGTAATCCCAGCACTCGGGAGGCTGAGGCAGGAGGATTGCTGAGCGTTCGAGGCCAGCCTGGGCCACATAGTGACTTCAGGGCCAGCCTGAACTACGAAGGGAGACCCTGCCTCAAAAAACAAAACAAAACAAAAAACAAACAAACAAAAATGATTGGTCTTGATCGAAAATTTTTTTGCTAATACATAGAACAATGCTTGACATATAGTAGTAATTCAATAAGGCTATAGTTGTCCCTCCGTATTTGTAGGGAATTGGCTCCAGAAACCCCTGCAGATACTAACATCTGTGTGAGTGCTCAATTCCTTATATAAAATGCTATACATTTTGCACATAACCATGAATATCTTCCTGTGTACTTTAAATAATCTATTAAATTACTTATAATACTTACTGTAGTGGGAATGTTTATTTAGAGTTATTTAGAAATGTTTATGAGTTGTTTTTTTATAGTTGATAAATCAGAAAACATTTATATGATTCCTAATGTAGTACCCACAATTATTTGAAAACCTTAGAGAATATGTCTCCTTAATGTTTTGCCTGTAATAGCTGATATTCTCATTTGGTAACAGCTTGAAAAATAGAGAGAAACTGGGCCGGGGATTTAGCTCAGTGGCACCATGCTTGCCCTGCAAGTGCAAGGTCCTGAGTTTGATCCCTGGTACCGCAAAAAAAACCCAAAAAAATGAGGGAAACCTATTTAAAATGGGCTCTTACTTAATGGTCCTATTGGAGGTATTAGTAACTTAGTCTCTCTCTCTCTCTCTCTCTTCTTCTTCCTCTTCCTCTTCTTCTATTTTTTTAGACAAGGTCTTGCTACAATAGCCCAGGCTGACCTCAGCTGCGATCCTCCTTCCTCAGCCTCGAGTGCTAGGATTACAGGCATGTGCCACCACACCCAGCTCTTTTTTCTCTTTTAAATAGAGAAAATATAGGGTCTTAGGGGGAGGGGTGGGTGGGATAAAATAAAATTTATTTTTAAAAAGAAAGAAAAAATAAATAGAGAAAATATAACACAGTCTGTTTTCTTTTTCTTTGTTTAGAGCAAAACACTTATTGGTACATTTTAGGCAAACAGTAATCACACTCTTCATAGTCATTCTGTTTTCAAGAAACAGTCCCAGCAGAATTCCTAGTCTTGCATGCTTTCACAAAATTTTGCCCCTTCCCATCAATAGATGAAATGTTTCCTCCTCCTTTGAGCCTGGGGAAGCTTGTGACTGCTCCCACCAGTTGACTATGGGGGAATGATGTGATAAGATTTCTGAGGCTGCAATATAAAAAGGTACAGCTTCTTCTGGGTGTGACAGTGAGCCCCTGTAGTCCTGGCTACCTGGGAGGCTGACATGGGAGGATCAATTAGAGAGACATGATCTCCAACAGAACAGAAGGAGACAGCTTCCTCCTTGCTCTTTCTGTTGTGTTGCTTGGTCTTGAAACTCAGTCACCATTATCGGGAGGAAGCTCAGCCATATGAAGAGGCCACATGTGTATCTTCTCATCAAAAACCTAGTTTAATCCTCAGCCAACAGCCAGCATTAACCAGCGGATGAGTGAGCAAGTGAGCAAGCAATCAGATAATCCTAGCCTGGGCTAGGAGTGCCCAGCTGAGGGCCCAGAAGTTGTGGAGCAGAAACAAGCGAGCCCCAATGTGTCTTGTTTGCATTCATGGTCACCATTATTATGGTGAGAGATAATAAGAGGATAACCATGGTTATTGTTAAGCCACTAAGTTTTTTGTTACACTGCAGTAGATAACTAATATATACAATTTATACAAATCTATCATAGGGAAATAACCAAAGATTTGAACAAATATGATGTTCATGGAAGCATAATTTATAATAGTAAATAAAATTTTTTGAAATAGTCTAACAATCCAACACTAAGAAATTGTTGATATAAGAAGGCCGGGGATTTAGCTCCGTGGTTCTGCCGCCTGCCTCGCAAGTGCAAGAACCTGAGTTCGATCCCCGGTACCAAAAAAAATACAGATAGATAAACAGATAGATAGATAGATAGATACTTTTACTTAGAGAAGTGATATATGGATGAATTATAACTTATTTGAACAATTTCTTTCTTTTGGTACTGGGGATTGAACTAGGGTCCTTGTGCATGGGAGGCAGGAGGCGGAACCATGGAGCTAAATCCCCAGCTCAGTATCTATATTTTTAAAAAGAAAGTTTAAGAAATTGCTATGCAGCCAGTTCTGATTGTCAAAACCCATAAAATTGTATTCTTATGTAAATGAAGATGATTAATAATAAAAATATATCTAATAAAGGGCACCTACCCAGAATATGTTAAGAATATTTACCATTCAATGAAAAATATTAAACAATAAACTTGTTTTTATTTTCTATTTTTTCATTAAAAATTTTTTTTTCTAAAAACATTTTTTTGAGATAAAGTTCTCTGTGTATAGTCCAGGTCAGCCTTGAACTTGCTGTGTAGCCTAGGCTGTCCTTAAACTTGTGATCCTCCTGCCTCAGCCTCCTAGTGCTAGAATTATAGATCACCATACCTGGCTTAAATGTTTTAAATAGCCAAAAATTTGAACAAGGGTGTCCAAAAAATAGATATCCAAATGGCTGGGAATATAGCTCAGTGGCAGGATACTTGCCTAACATGCAAGTGGCCCAAAGTTAAATCCCTAGTACTGTAAAAACTTTCAGTGTAACTATGCTGAGTGACTACCTTACTAGGCGGTGCAGCTCTAGAGTTAAAGAAGAGTTGAGAAAAATGTGAGTTGAGAATGGTAATGAAATTAGGGCGAAAGTTGTATTTATCATGATTAAATTAGAGCAGTGGTGCTCAGTCTGTATTAAGATTTCCTGGAAAGATTTCTGAAAATACCAATTTCTGGTCACCAATTTAAAATCAATTGGATCAGAATTTCTAAAAATAAAATGAGGGCATTGTATTTTCAGAAGCTTCGTAGGCAATTCTAATGTGTCATTAGGGTTAGGAATCAGTGAATCAGAATGGTGTTTCTTACACATAACGTGCATCTGAGGACCTTGTTAAAGTACTGAGTTTGCTTTCAGGAGGTCTGAGCTAGGGCCAGGTAGTGTGCATTTTCAACAGGCTTCCTGATACTGGTGATCCTCAATCTATTTGGATAGCAAAGAATTTTAGGATGAAAGATTGAGCAGGAGTCCACTTTGCCTGAAGTGAACATTTGGTAGTAGAATTGAACAATTTTTGGCTGGGCTTGGCGGTGTGCACCTATAATCCCAGCACTCCAGAGGCTGAGGCAAGAGGATTGCCATGAGTTCGAGGCCAGCCTGGTATAATAGTGAATTAAAGACCAGCCTAAACTACATAGTGAGACCCAACCAACAGGGCTGGGGATTTAGCTCAGTGGTTCCACCGCCTGCCTTGCAAGTGCAAGGACCAGAGTTCAATCCCCGGTACAAAAAAAAAAAAAAAATCAACCAGTCAACCAGCCAGCCATTTTACCAGGCTCAGGTTAGTGTCTACATGTCTCAACAAAGACCATGTATATAGTATTTAAATATTTATGTAAATAAGTACTTCAAAGAACTAAACTGTTTCTGCTGGACAGTGGCAGAGAAGAGGTTTTTGTTTTGTTTAGGTAAATGGTTAGGGAGGAGATCTTCGAAGAGGTAACATCTGAGCAGGGGATTTAGTGAAATGAAGCATCAGTGGTCAAGCTAGTGCTGCACTGATTATGACATATGGTTGCTTGAGTGGGACAGCTCTTCCTTCGCCCTTAATGTAGTTCTGTGATTTGATAAACCACAACCCTTACAAACAACCAACCAAAAGAAGGGCTGTAAGCCACGTCATTTATCCAAGATTTTGATAATTTTGGGGCTCTGAAGCTACAGTACTTACTTAATATTTTGGATTTGAATGGTAGAAAGTAGGGGAAAACTAATAATTGATGATTGATGGCTGAAGTTGCCGATTATCTTAGATTAATTGTGTTTTTGCTTAGAATTCCTTTAACCATTTTCCTGCTTAACTTTTTTTTCTTTTCTTTTTTTAGTGCTGGGGACTGAACCTAAAGCCTTAGCAGTGAGATACATCACCAGCCATTTTTCATTTTTTATTTTGAGACAAGGTTTTGCGAAGTTGCTAAATTGTCCAGCTGGGCTCAAATTGGCAGTCTTCCTTCCTAAACCTCCCAGAGTGCTGGGATTACAGGAATGAGCCACCATGACCCACTCATTTTTTAAAATTTTATTTTGAGACATATTTGCTAAATTGTTTATGCAATCCTCCTGTCTCAGCCTCTAATAGTTCTGATTATAGGCATGGATCACCACCTCCAGTTTTGGATTGGTTGTTTAAGGTGTTAAGGTTCTGGAGTTCTGGATTTGATCTCCAGTACTGCAATACATACATAAATAATAAAATAGGAGATTGTTTTTCTCTGGTTTGGAGGATATTGCTTTTGTGTTTTACCCTAATCTAGAAACTTGGGGCCCTTGGAACTCCTTGTTACCCATGTCGTTCCTCTTCATGTTGTTCCTCCCGCAATTTCTCCTAGTTTCCTGGCTTCTCTGTTGTCATTTCTCTTACTTGAACATAACCCCCTTGATCCATTGAACCCTGCTTTCTTTGGGGGTGGGTGCAGGTGATGGAACTCAGGACCTTGTGCTTGCCAGGCAGGTGCTGTGCTGCTGAGCCCGCCCACCCCCACCCATCCCGGCCCCAACCTTGCCTTTGCTTTCAGTTAACCTGCTGACTTCTTTACTTGTTTTGTTTGAAATAAATTACAACCAAAGAACCTGAGGGGAAGGGAAAAATTCTCTCTGAATCATTTTTTCTAGAGCTTTTTAGGTTGTCACCTCTACTTATATTACTTTTATGATATATAAGGAAAATGAATTTCTTACTTTGGAAACTGTTCTCTAATTACAACTGAGTAGTCTACAGGGAAAGATGATGATAATGATTTTGATGATTTTGTAGTCCTGGGGATTGAACCTAGGGCCCTGTGCATGCTAGGAAAGCAGTATACCACTAAGCTAGATCCCCAGCCCTTTTAAGTTTATTTCTTCAGATTTATTTAGTGAGACAGGGTCTTGCTATATAGTGCAGGCTGGCCTCAAACTCATGGCAGTCCCCCTACTTCAGCCTCCCAAGTGCTGGGGGTACAGGTGTGCACCACTAGATTGGGCCCCTTAGCCCTTTTTAAATTTTATTCTGAGCCAGGGACTAGCTAAATTCCCCAGGCTGGTCTTGAATTTGTGGTCCTCCTGTCTCAGTCTTTGCTGTAGCTGGGATTACAGGTTTGGACCACTGTGTCCCATTTATGATTACTTTTCTTTAATAACAGTTCCTTCTCTTTCCCTCCCTCCCTCCCTTCTTGGCTCCCCCACCCCCTTCTTTCTTTTTCAGTGCTGGAGATCAAACCCAAGGCCTTGCACATGCTAGGCAAGCACCCTACCACTAAGCTAAACTCCTAGCCCCACAGTTTCATTTTTACCACCTTTTCCATGGAAAGATAAAGATATATCATTTTTCAGTACTTTATCTCACTTTCAGATTGTTCCCTGAATCAGTTTCAAGTCTTTCATGTTTACATATAAAATATTATAATTTATATGTATACATACTTATAAAATGACTTTGACTTTAACTGTGACCTTTTCAAATATTAGAATCAATTACCTATGATATATAGTATATTAGAATTTTTCCTACATAGTTCTAGTGCTACGGATATGAAATTATGGTGATTTATTAGGTTTAATTTGTCACATGCAAGAAGTATGTTCATGATTGTTACTTATACATTTAAATATTTTAAATTATTTTTTCTCTTTCTAGCTGTCCCTTTTCCTCCAACCCACCGTCTTACTTTGAAGGAAGTATTTGAGAATGGGAAACCCAAAATTGATATTTTGAAAAACCATTTGGTGAAGGAAGGCCGACTGGAAGAGGAAGTAGCCTTAAAGATAATCAACGATGGTGCTGCCATTCTGAGGCAAGAGAAGACTATGATAGAAGTGGATGCGCCAGTCACAGGTATGTAAAGTATTTACATGGTAGCCCTTAGGTGTGAGCTAATTTTGAGAACTGATTATAAATAATCAACTAAAATGCAATGTGATAAGTTTTCTACAAATTTTGAGACAGTCTTAGGGTTGGCTAAGATGTTTTTTGTTCCTTGAAAAAATAAAATTTTTTATAAATAAAAATTTCTACTATGTCCTAATTTAGTACCCACAGATCATCTATAATTCTGTGCAATCCAATCAAAAGCTAATATGATTTAAATTAAAAGTTAAGCTATGATTCTTGCTGATGTAAGGCCTTTTTTTCTAAGACATAATTTTTCACCTGACATCATGTCTTTTTTTTTGCCTAGTGTGTGGTGACATTCACGGACAATTCTTTGACTTGATGAAGCTGTTTGAAGTTGGGGGACCACCTAATTGCACACGCTACCTCTTTCTGGGTGACTATGTGGACAGAGGCTATTTCAGTATAGAGGTAAAAATTAACCTAGATATGTTGGACCAGTCATTTGCCCTTTAAAAAAAAGATTTGCTTCCCATTCACTAGAAGAAATTAAAATATGAACACTGGTAGAACTTATAAACTTTGTTACTTTCAGTAGTTAAAGCAGCCGGGGATGTAGCTCAGTGGCACCATGCCTGCCTGGCAAGTACAAGGTCCTGAGTTCATTCCACCTACTCAAAAAAAAAAAGTTAAAGCAGTAGAGAAATGTTTTACCTAACATAAAAAAATCTATTATTTTTTGTTTTTACCAGTAGCAAATCTGGTATATAGAAGGCTATATTGACTCAGTTTTAAAAATAAGTTAAATGTTTATTAACCTTTCTTCTTTCAAGATTCTATAGAGGCTATATATAAAGACATATATTGCTTTTCACCCTAAACATGGTTTGGACTTGCCGAACTTAATTATGAAACTATAAGCTGCTGAAATACAATTAACTTTTTTTTTTTTGGTACTGGGGATCGAACTCGGGTCCTTGCGCCTGCCCAGCAGTCGGCAAAACCACTGAGCTAAATCCCCGGCCCTACAATTAACTTTTAGATTAACTGCCAGTGGTAATTAAGCAGGCATTTGTCTTATTGTGGGAATAATTTCTGATACTGTTGCACATTAATAAATATTTGCTGAAGAGAAAAAAAATGAATTATAATTAATGAAAACTCACAGTTTATCTTTACATGTTTTGAGAATTGAATGATAGGAACATGGTTAACATTAAAAACATACAAGCTTTTATCTGTAAAAAAGATAAAACTATTTTAGAACTTAATGCAAGGACTTGAGTACTGAGGGACCACAGCACATTCATATTTAATGTCCATTGTTTCAACTCCACATGCTTGGCAAATGAAAGTTGAAAAACTTTTGAGACAGTGAGGGTAATCGAATTTGGAATGTGCCCCATACACTTGAAATAAGAAATTGGGTCTGCTTGCTGTTTTTGCTGCCTTTAGTCCTACCTGCCTCTCATAATGTGAGTCTCACTGCGTTGTGTTCCTGGTGGCGCAAGCTTTCTTGTTCCTGTAGCATCACCACTAAATACAGATCCTGTACCTCATCAATGCTCAGAGGAGCATCAGCCATTCTGAAGCTGCAGGAAAAATAAACAACAAAATAAATAGATTTTACTCTTTCATCTGATAAGAAAACAATTCATGAATCAGAACAGTTCAGTTTTATATGCCAGTGTGTAAAATTCATTTGGTGTAAAATGTGAGGACCAAAGATAATGGTATAAACTAAGACAATATGTCCATCTTCCCCACTGCACATTTTCCTGCTGCTCAGCAAATACCCACAGCCTCTTATAGGTACTGGGCATGAGTACAGTTCATCCTTGCAGACTGGATCATTGAAAGCATTCAGCGGCTCTTCCCATCATGTTTCAATAGACAAGTAATCAAAGTATAGAAGTTTAAAAGACATTGAAAAAAATTTTTGAGATAGGGTCTTGCTATGTAGTTCAGGCTGGCCTTGAACTCACTATGTAGCCCAGGCTGGCCTCGAACTCATAGTAGTCCTCCTGCCTCAGCCTTCCAAGTGCTGGGATTACAGGTGTGAGCCATCATGCCTGATTGAAAATTTATTTCTTGTATGTTTGCTAACATGAGGAAGTTTCAGAGGCTGAAGGGAGAAAACAGAACTCGCTGAATTTTTAGTCATTTAATGAACCAACTTTTAAAACATAATGATGACAAATTATCTTCTGATTATTGTATAATTTTAAAATACGGTAGTTAATTTTGTGCGTGTGTGTGTGTGTTCTGGGGAATTAAACCCAATGTCTTCCTCATGCTAAGCACACATTCTACCACTGATCTATCTTTCCCCAGCCTTTAAGTTTGTTTTATTTTGTTTTTCCTGAGATAAAGTCTTGCTATGTTGCCCGGGGTGGTCTCAAACTCTTGGGTACAAGCAATTCTGTCTCAGCCTTTCAAGTAGCCGAGACTGCAGTTGTGGGCCACCATACCTGGCTTCAGCTCCTAGAAAGAGTTTAAATTTATTAACGCATTCAATGAAGCACATATTTAAAATCCACAATTAATTTTATATACATATGCCATATTTGGAATACTCTTTGTACTATCCATTGTTTACTTATCAACAAAATTTCCTGAGTGCTAACATTATGGCAGGATATATGGGAATAAAATAAAGAATAAGATTTAGCTGGGTATGGTAACAAAATCTGTAATCCCAGCACTCTGGGAGGCTCAGGCAGAAGGATTGCAAATTTGAGCCCAGCCTGGGCAACTTACCAAGTTGTCTCAAAATTTAAGAGAAAAAAAAAAAAGGCTAGAGATGTAATTCAGTGCTTGGTTCAATCCCCAGCACCACAAAAAAAGAAACAAGAAAAAGATTTATGCTCTCTGAAGGAGTTGACAAACTAATGGAAAAGGTAGAAAAGCTACACTTATGAATAGATCTCTCAGTATAATATGAAAAGTGCTTAATTATCAACACTATTGACTTCTGGCACGATACATAGTAAATACTCAGTATTTTTAAATGAATGAATAAGTCATGGTTTATATTTGTTTGGTTTTATTCTGTTACCTGATGTTTGCTAACTTGAAAAGATTTTCTGGAATAACTTAAGAGATAAGTGAATTGGAACTTTAAGGTAACAATACTATTTTATACAAGTTGGTTTTTTGTTTTTTGTTTTTTTTGGTACCGGGGATCAAACTCAGGACCTTGTGCGTGCGAGGCAGGCTGCAGAACCACTGAGCTAAATCCCCGGCTAGTAAGGGTTCTTTTGTCTTTTTGGGGTTTTTTGGTACTGGGGATCAAACTCGGGATGTTGCACTTTCGAGGCAGGCGGCGGAACCACTGAACTAAATTCCCGGCCCTTATTTTATACAAGTTTTAAAACTGAATTGTGGGCCAGGGATTTAGCTCAGTGATTCCAGCGCCTGCCTCACAAGCGCAAGGTCCCAAGTTTGATCCTCAGTACCAAAAACAAAAACAAAAACTGAATTGTGTGATATATCTAGTCTTAGAAATGGGTTAATTTGATAAGTCACTAAGGATAGAAAAACTTCTGTAGGCCACAGCTTAGTCTAACCTGATACAAGCGTATACACAAAAGATGACCATGAATGTGGTGTTTTTGTCAACTAGATGAAAATAAAACCATGGAATCGCTAATAAAATTGTTTGTTATAAATAGTTTGTTTTTTTTTAAATTGGGAGATGCAGAATCTAAGAAGGCATCCAGGGCCAGGGATTTAGCTCAGTGGCACTGCACCCTGCCTCGCAAGTGCAAGGTACCTGAGTTTGATCCCCAGTACCAAAAAAAAAGAAAAATCATAAATCCATTGAAATATCACACAAAACAAGAAATCTGGAGATAAAATGTCCAGGTTTAGAGGATTGGCTCAACATGGTCCCCAAGAAACTAGGCTCTCTGCACCTCTTTGATTTGGGATTCACAGCAGATCTGCTTTTTTTTTTCCCCCCTAATTCTGGGATCAAATCCAGGGCCTCATGCATGGTAGGCAGATCTGCTTCTCATCCTTAGTCATGTCACCTCCTTTCAGTCACTGAATAGCTGCCATAGGACACAAAAGGACATCCATAAGATTTCACCTTGAAAGAGCCTTTCATCCAGAAAAGAAAATATTCCAAAAACAAACAAAACAACACCCAACAGTTTGTCTCATTTTAGTAGGTAGAAGAGGATCCCATGTTTACCCCTAAAGCAATCACACATGACAAGAGAAAGATTTGCTTTGACTAGTTCAGCACTTGGGAGGCTGAGGCAGGAGGATGGCTGTAAGTTTGCGGCCAGCCTGGGTGGCTATACAGTGAGTTCAACATCAGCCTAGACTAGAGTGAGACCTTGCCTCAAAAAATAAAAACAAGCACAAAAAAACAAAAAACCCCAATTATTTCTATTCTGTATATTGAACTTAACATCTTTTTAAAATATCTTTGATAGTGGGTCTGATATTTCAGATTTTTATAAGTGAAATAACTGGATCAGAGTAGAACACTTTTAAGATTTTTGCTAATTTTCACAAAGTGTTATTGGACTTATTTCTTCTTTATGTACCTAATAGTTTATATACCTACATAAGAGAATCAAAGGATGATGTCTTTTTCATGCCTAGAGCAGGCACTGACCTCTCCTGAGCAGTGTGGGCTTTGATTAGTAGACCAGGAATCGATGCAAATGTCACTGATAAAACAGAGCAGTAAAGATTCACTTTTCTCTGAGTCTTTTGATGTTTCTTCCTCATTTGTAGCTAAAGTGCTTCCTTCGTGGTAGGAGAAGCTAAATTTTAGTTTTCTTTCATTGACTGTACAAGAAAAGGAAGACTTAAAGGGAAAGTTTTTACCATGGGATTTTTTTTTTCTTTGTGGTACTGGGGATTGGGCCCAGAGTGCTCTACTATGAGCTATATCCCCAGCCCTTTTTATTTTCTGCTGTGAGACAGGGTCTCACTAACTTGCCCGGGGTGAGCTTGAACTTCGGAACTTCTTGCCTCGGTCTCCCAGAGTGTTGGGATTAAAAGAGTGCACCACCACACCTGGCTAGCACAGTATATGTTATACCTAGTACACAGGAGCTATCAAAGACAACATAAGATGCCCAGGTGACATGCAGTGGTTGACATGCAGAATGGTTCTTCATGTAGAGTAATAATTCTGTTCACAAAGAAGTACAGAAGTAATTGAATGTTTCAACAGACTTTATAATCATGACCTTGAAATTGAATTATGTAAGACAGTTGTACAACTGTATCTTGATATATAAAATAAATGAAACTTGAAATTAGAAGCTGAGAAGTATAAACTAAATTACATTGCACTGTAGATCTGGATTGTATTTTTATATATTTCATTACTTCAAAAAGGTGAGTTGGTCGAAGTTCAGAAAGCAAAGATCTAAATATATCAAAAGATATATCATGTTCTTGGGAAGGTAGATATAGAAAAGAGAAAATGCTTCTAAATTTGTGTACAGATATAATGTAATTTTTCCTTGGAATATTTTGTGGAAATTAATATATTAATAATTAAATTCAGCCTCCAAAAAGAAAAAGCCATGTAAGTATATTTGTGACTATATTTTTAAGTTTTCTAATGGTTCCTTTGCAATATCTGTCTGAAATGAAAGCTATACATTTTTATCTTACAAGTCCATTTTTGAGAACTAATGTTGTAGATGCATTCATAACTGTGTACAATGATATGTTTGTCACTGTGATTAAAGGGAAACTATTAAACAACACAGAATCATCCTCTTCAAATTGTCAGTAGTACCTGTGTCGAGAAACATTGTTAGAGCAGGGAAAATGGAGGTGAACAGGCAAAACAAAGTCCTGTGTTGTATTTTCTAGTGAGAAGGGGCAGCATCAAATTGTTTGTTTGCCATCTATGAAGATTAAACCAGAGTAAGGGGCTACAGGGAGGCAGCAGCTGGTAATTTAGATAGAGGCATCAGGGGAGGCCTTTTGGAGAAGGTAACATCTAAACAGAAACCGGAATGACCTGCAAGCACCAGCTGTGCACAGGCCCTGGGCAAGTCTCTTCCCAGCAGATGACACAGCCATTGGAGAAGCTCAGAGGAAGGAGCAGGTCCAGGCCAGTCCCAGAATAGTAACAAGGCTCAAGGCTCAACACCTGACAGAGTAATGAGGAAGGGGAGGTGTTGCAGAGATGTGGGCAGAGGTTAGGATGTTGTCAGGGCTTGAAAACCATAGTAAAGGAGTTTAGATTTTAACCTGAATGAGATGGGAAGCCTCTTTTTTGGATGAGGAGTGACATAGTCACATTTATGTTTTAGAACAATTACTCTGGCTACAGTGAATTGACTATAGTAGCCTTAAATGGGGGTGCAGAGACCGGTAAGGAATCACAGCCCGAATTGGTTTTTTTTTTACTATGCAAATTATTTTTATTTTTGTATAGTCAGATATATTTTTTTCCTTTAGTGCCTATGGAAACGTATTTTTAAGTTTTTATTTATTTATTTTCATTTTTTTGAGATAGGATCTTGCTTTTGGTTTTGGGGTTTTTCTTTTTCTTTTTCTTTTCTTTCTTTCTTTCTTTTTTTTTTTTTTTGGTACCTGGGATCAAACTCCACCCCTTGCGCTTGTGGGGCAGGCTGTGGAACCACTGAGCTAAATCCCCAGCCCTTGGTTTTGGTTTTTTGAGACAGGGTCTCACTATGCAAGTTCAGGCTGGCCTTGAACTCACTGTGTAGCCCAGGCTAGCCTCAAACTCCTGGCAATCCTCCTGCCTCAGCCTCCCAAATGCAGGATTACAGCCCTGCACCACCATCCCTGGCTTGCCTGTGGATTTTGAGTTGTTAAATATAAACCTTTTTTCTTATACTTTGTTTTCTTGTAGAACTCACCTGTATTTTCTTCTAGAACTTTTTTTTTCTCAAACTTCTGAGGTTTTGTTATTTTATATGTAGATTGTTTATCCACTCATCATCTATTATGTATTGTGTGAGCAATTTTATATTTTTTGAAATGACAACTAGTCCAGAGTCATTTATAAAAAACCCATCATTACCCCAGTGATCTGAGATACCACTTTTATTATATACACATTTTTATATATACTTGGATCTATTTCTGTATTGCTACATACCACTGATATATTTATCTATGTACTTCATGTGCCAGCACACTGTTTTGATTATAGAAGTTTATAGTATGTTTTTGGGCTATTCACACATCAAAGTTTCTCTTTTTTCAATGTTTTCCTGGCTATTGCATGTTGATTTTTCCATATAAATTTTAGTGTCAATTTGTTGAACTTCATAAATCATCTTGTGGGTATTTTTATTGGAATTGAAATGATTTTATAAATTAAATTATGGAGGACTAATTTTTTTTATGTGCTGGGGATTGGGCCCAGGGTCTAGGGTACTTTCGGCAAGTGCTCTGCACTAAGCTGTACGCCCAGCGCTGAGAACTGTAGTCTTTCAATGTTGAGTTGTTCTGTCCAATAACACTGGATGGCTGCTTGTATCTTTGGGAGTTTAAAAATTTCCCTGTACAGATTTTGTACTTTTCTTGTAAAAGTTATTCCTATGTATTTAGGCTTTTTTTGTTGTTATTACAAGTGAAAGTTTCTCTGCCATGATGTCCTGTTTGTCATTTGTATATAAAAAGTTATTCAGGGCTGGTGATACAGCTCGGTGGTAGAGCATTTGTCTAGTGTGTGTGAGGCCCCAAGCTTGATCCCTAGCACTACAAAGAAGAAAAGATTATTTATTTGCATGTTAATTTTAAACTCTGCTATTTTATTGAATTCTTTTATTGAGTAGTTTTATCACTGATTTTTTTCTGGTTTTCTTTTTCAGATACACTATTATAACTATATATACAGTGATCATTTTGCTTTTTCTTTTCCTATTCTTAAATTAGAAGATCTTTTGTCTAACTCCATTGGCTAATAATGCTGCTAAATAACCTTGCTAAATAGTGGCAGGGAGTTGATATCCCTGCCTTGTTCCTGATCTTACTGGAAGTATCTAGTGTTTTTCTATTATAAAATAATTATATACACAGGCTTCCAGAATTCTCTGACAATGTCCCTCTCTTTGGGAGTAACAGTGAGATACAGCATTTTAACAAATAAGTTGAGTTTATATCAATTGTCTTCATGTATATCATGGTCACAAAAACAGTTTTATCCTTGAATTTGTCTTGTAGTGTGTGCTGTTTTTATGGAGTTTAAAGATTATTCATCCCAAAACATTATTTCTGCTTCGAGGAAATCATGAATGCAGGCATCTTACAGAATACTTTACCTTCAAACAGGAATGTAAGTATAATTGCTTCTCCCAAACCTTTTTTAGTTATTCTTTAACTTTCTGAATTAAGGTTCAGGTTTTTTTTGTTTTTTGAAACAAGGTACCATGATGTTGGCCTGAATCTCCTGGGCTCCCATGATCCTCCCACCTCAGCCTGAAGTAGCTAGGACTATGGGCTGTGCTACCTTGCGTGGCTAAACTTCGGTTTTTAAAGTGATATTTAATCTAATTCTCTCTCTGTTTTATCAGAGGTTTGTTTGGTTTTTATTGGGGGGGGTGTCTTTTTTGTTCTTGGGATTAAACTCAGTTCTTTTTGACAAGCAAAATTGTTTTAAACTATTTTTAGAAGATGGAACAGTAGGTTCAGGAAATACTTTAATTATCTCCTTTTGCACAGAGTTTATCTTAGATTTTTATTTACTTTCCACTGTGCTTTAACTGTAGTTTTAATCTGGTTGCTTTCTTTTTCTTCTGTGTACCAAAATACTCCTGTTTCATTGTAATGCTGCATTTGAAATGTAAATAAATCTTGGAATAAGCACACAAATTGAAGTAGAAATTTAAAATTTTATTTCTGTATTAAGAAAGAGCATGTATGCATTTTGCATGGTTGTTCTTATTGATGAACTGACCTCTTGAAGTGCCTCTGTGGCTTTTAGAATCAGTGCCTTATAGTTACTAAGTGATGTTTGATTACAGATTGCACAGCTACAATCTTGTTAATTGTTAATGTTTTTGAGGGGTGAGACCAGAGGCTTTTCTTCTCTCCTTTTGATTCTTGTTTTTTTTTTTTTGTGGTACCGGGGATCAAACTCGGGTCCTTGCGCTTGCGTAGCAGGTGGCGAAACCACTGAGCTACATCCCCGGCCCTCCTTT